GTGTTATTACACTAAGCATATGAGCTATACCAGGATGTCCCATAGAAGGTTGATCATGAAACGATTGAAGAATCTGTAAGCGAAGAGAAGGAGGAACATATAAACGATCTCTGAACCACCAAAGACCACCCCGAAAAGTAAAATAAGATGGAGGTTTCGTCAACTCTGAAACACCTTCATATGATTTGATGAGCATTGAACGAGTCTCAGGAGATGGTATTGAAAAGGTCGTATCAATTGAACAAACGGTAACCCCATCCTTGACCATATAAGGTTTAAGAAGGGTCAAGCGCGAAGAATCAGATGAAAAATTCTCATAATCTGGACGACGAGAAAGAGGATCCGCAGGATTTGATTTTCCAGGAGTGTGAAGTATTTGGAAATGAAATTGAGTTAGATAAGAAGCCCATCTGGCTTGTCGCGGCGTGAGTTTCTGAGAAGTCATGAAATATCTCAAATTTGCATGATCAGAAAAAACCGTAACTGGTGTATCAGTTCCAGTCAACCACGCGCGCCATTCACCAAAAGATTCCACAATCACACCAAGCTCTTAATCATGGACCTGCCAAACTTTCTCCGAAGGTGTTAATTTGCGAGAAAAAAAAGAAATTGGCAAAAGATTACCATCTTTATCAGGTTGCGACAAAATGGCAGCCATTGCAAACCCAGAACAATCCACTTGCAACGCTCTAGGCTTATCAAAATCAAAGTGAGAAAGAAGAGGAGCAGTGGTAAAAGCTTTCAACAGGGAACGAAAAGAAGAGATACACTCAGGAGCAGTCAATCCTTGCAACACATTAACTCCCGAAGACGTCAAGGCTGTAAGAGGCGCTGCAATAGAGGAAAAATGGTGAATAAACCTGCGATAAAAATTTGTGAAACCTAAGAAACGAAATAATTGCTTAGAGTTAGTAGGATACGGCCAATCTGCAATAGTACTTAATTTCTTTGGATCCATCTTCAAACCAGATTCTGAAATCACAAAACCCAAAAATGTAACCTCATTTGCATAAAATTGACATTTGTCGGGGGAAACAGACAACTTGTGATCTTGAAGGCGTTGGAGAACTTGAGATACATGTAAAGTGTGCTCATCATAAGTTTTAGAAAAAATAAGAATATCATCAATATAAACAAAACATGAAACCCCTAAATATTCAGATAAGACAGATTGAATAAAACGTTGAAAACATGCCGGACCGTTGGCTAATCCAAACGGCATAACTAGACATTCAAATAAACCCCAAGGAGTACGAAAAGCCGTCTTCCATTCATCCCCTTCTTTAACACGTATAAAGTTAAATGCTGATTTAAGATCTAATTTCGTAAAATATTTGCAACCAGTAATTCGAGTAAGTAAATCACCGAGTAACGGAATTGGAAAACTGTCACGAATCGTCATTGAATTTAAAGATCTATAGTCTACACAAGGCCTATTCTTCTTCCCTGGTACTTTAACAAAAAAAATCGGAGCCGCCGCAGGTGAAGAAGATGGCCTAATATTACCCTGCGCCAATTGAGCATCCAACCAAACCTTCAATTCAGTTTGTTCTAGTTTAGCCAAAAGATAAGACCCACCAAACAACGGGACAGAACCCGGTTTCAAATTTATGGACATATCATAACCTGGCCGATGCGGAGGTAACGACGAAGCACTCTGAGGAGCAAAGACGTTAGCATACTTGGCAAACTGGGTTGGAAGTGATGTTGATAAAGATAAAGAAGGCGAAGTTGAAGAAGTTTGATGAAGACGAGAATGAAAAGAGGGAACAGGAATCGCTGAATGGACTGAATCTGTGCATTCACCTTTATTCAAACATTCGTTGACCGAAACCGGGTTTTCCAACCTCAAGGAGGGACCAGAACCTCCTACCCATCCATCATGTTGTTTTAACCAATCCACCCCCAAAATAACATCATACCCTCCCAAAGTAGTTATATCAAGTGAAATGGAAGACTGAAATTGATGATTCTCATGAAGTCCTTGAAGAAACAAATGACCTATCCATTCATGAGTGACAACACCATCTTTGCCAGTAGAACCATCAAAGGTGACACAAGTCATAGGAAAGGGTCGAAGCTTATGAACTAATTTATTGCAAGATGCAAAACCTTTATCAATGAAACTACGAGATGCACCAGAATCAACAAGCGCGCGAGCCGAAAAAAATGTTTTTCCACAACTGAGTAAAACCGATAAAATTAAACGAGAATCATTTCCATCTTCTCCTTGAAAAGCTAACGCTGATACCTGATCCTCAATCCCATCATTAGAGGTATCAAACAAAGGGCGAGGCTCAAAGAATTCGTCCGCATTCAAACCGTGATCGAAAGATTCATGTTGATTTGCATTTTGATAATCCGAAAACAAAGCCGAAACAGCCGCCACCGAGCTGGAAGTAGCAGGAGGAGGCACTTCAGGAGGAGCTGCCAACATACTTGCTTGAAAAGCTGCGGGAGTGTGATCCAACCCAAAATGAGTATGAGCTTGAGAAAAAAGACGACCAGGAGGAAGAACCGGCTGGCGAAGCGGAGTAGACAAAGCTGGATGCGGAGCAGACTGAGGCTGACAAGGTGGAGTCATTCGAGGAACCAAATTCGAAGGAGACACCGCCGAGACCGGGTTCTGCTGAACACGTGCAACAAATGCATCCATAGCGGCGACCGTGACGCGGGGGTTAGGACAATTTGCCTTCCCATCAGGTGTTCGGTGAGTGGCATCGAAAGGTTGAAGACATTTATAACAGGTGGTTGCAGAATGACACAGTTGACGATAAAATTCCAAACTGACAAGAGTCGGCTTAAGTTGAGGAGGCCGAGTTTGAACAGTCTGAAAAGCATTGACATCCACTTGCATTGCATTAGGATCAAAAGGCACAATGACGGCAGGTACTTGACGCGAAGGTTGAATAGGTGGGCGAGCCGGTTGCAAAGCGGACCGATGTTGATTCGACACCGGAGGATGATGAACATGAGGCCTAACCAGATTCAAATCCGAAACCAATCTATCTGCCAACAGAGCCAAATCCTGAACCTCCTTTAACGTTGTAGCGGTAGCCCAATCCGGATGCTTCATAGCACGATTCAAAATGTCCGGACGAATGGCCTTGCGATAATAATTGGTAACAATGAGATCCTCCAAAGAAAGTTGTAACGCCAAACCATCGAAAACTCCATTGAAATGCAACAAGGTAAGCTTCCCTTGACGCAATTCCTGAAGTTCTTTGAGAATCGTGATAGAAGAAAATTTATCCCCGAAACGGTCAGCAATTTGATCATAAAAGATGTCGATGTCGGATAAATCATTAATGATAAACTTGAGATTAGAAGATTGATGATTAAACACAACGACTCCATGCTCCCGTGCATTGCGACGTAACAAGCTGGTCCACCAAACGTGAGCAGAAGAATTTGGGACAAAATGACGCGCAACCCAACGAATACGTCTGGAGTCATCCACAAAACAAGATGAATGAGAGGTCAAAGAATCCCTAACTTGATCAATAAACCAGAGAACAGATTTCGGGTTCAAACCATCAAACGAAACCGAAGGAAGAGAAGCAGGCTCAGGACGGACAACCGATGGCGAAGATGGCGAAGTCTCAAGAGTCGATGACGCCAAGTGACGACTGAGCTGAGCGGCTATGTCCGTATTGGAAGCCTTAGCCTCCTCGCGTAAAGCAGCAGTGGCAGACGAAATCTCCATACGCATCAACGCCAGGACATCACTAACACGATTTCCCACACGCTGATCAAAGTCGGAATTCGTCATGCAGTCATGCACGGCCGCAGACAAATTGGAGACAGCCGTAGACAAATTAGAAAAAGAGGAGGATAACTGATTAAAATCTAAACGAAGACCTTCAATGTTGTTATTGACCACCGTGATGGCATTGTCCAACTGAAGTCTAAACGCAGCCTCAGTAGTAGTGGAATGTTGAGAGAGCTTATCTTCCACATCATTCTGTAAAAGGCGAAGAGATGGGTTGACAAAGTTATCCGCAAACTGTTGTTGATCCGCGGTGAGAATGACGGGAAGGTCCCCAGAAACCGTAGAGCGTCGAGAAGCCATAAAGGTAGTCGAAAAAGATAACAGGAGTGAAAGATAAAAACGGAAAAGGAACCAACGATGATACAATAATGTGGCCAAAAGGAAGAAGTAAAAAAGGAAGAAAGAAAAAGCACAAATCCTGACACACACCTCAAAGAACAAAAAAATGACGTCACCAGCAAAAGCCGAAAAAACGCGGTCATACCACAACAAACGCAAAACAACACCACACTCCAAAAGATATACCCGCGAAACAGAGACGAAGGGTAAAAAAGAGCAAAATAGAAGGGAGACAAGAAAAAACCCGAAGGCGGCAAATAGCCGAAAAAGACAAACCACTATGCAAAAAAAAGATACCGCCCAACAAAGCAATATACGAAACCGCAACCAAGACCAAAACAAAAGACGAGGAAATAAGGAACAGAAGAAAATCTCATACTGTCGCACCAACCGCACAAAGCGAACACACCACAGGAAAATACGTCGAAACACGAAAACCCAAGGATCTTCAAATAGGCATGCACAAAGCGAGGGAGTGAAAAGAAAAAAGGCCGTGGAAAAACATAAGGATGATCCACATATCTCATGTAAAAGAAAAAAAGAAAGGAAGAAAGAGAAGAAAAATGCAAGGAAAAGCACTGCCAAAAGCAGGAGCACGCGCGAAAAAAGTTTTAATGATCGAATTATACTGTAAGGGCTCTGGTGTACCTTAGGTAAGCTCATGGCTTCCCAGACTTAGGTTATTAGAGTGAGGAAAGTTACTTTAATAATTCGATAAGGAAAAGAGAAACATGTCCTAATAACAACCTAAATATATACTAAACAAATGTCTATAAACATACAACAACTTTATTCGTAACTAATCTAACGAGATTCGCTAACAACCATATTCGTTGACTACCGTATCCAACACAACATTTGATAAAAGATACTAAATCATTACACCGTCGCCTTCGTGGCTCAGCTGGTTAGAGCGCCGGTCTCATACTCTCACGAGTGATCCAATGATCCGTTAGGAACCATCCGGAGATCGCCAGTTCGATCCTGGCCGAGGGCAATCATCTTTTTGACCGCTGACTGACATTTCTTGAACCTTTTAGGATCAATGGAGTCCAAAGTGGGTATTGTTTGACGGATGTTTGAATTTTTACTGGGCTATTGATTTTGTGAGTAAACTTTTACAACTTCTTGACAAAGATGATTTGTTCAGTTCAGAATGATCGCTTGAAATCTTTCTGAAGTGAATCAAGAATGGTCGGAGTGTGATTGTAAAGCAAAAAGATGAGATTTTGAGGATTTGTAGCATGGAAAGATTAGTTTGAATTGCAGATTTGTAAACTTCTTGATGATCAAGTCTATTTTTAAATCAATCAATACTCAAGTTGAGTCTGTAGTTTTGATTATAACTTCTCTAATGTTAGAAAACCTGAACCTCACAGCTTTGAAGAAAGAATACATTCAGCTCCTCAGTTTAAGATGTTTCAATATCCGGAACGCAACATCAAAAAGACTCAAAATCACCCTGTAGTATTGTTGGCTGATCTGAAGTAGATCTTTTCTCTGAATAGGATTTGTTCACCCAGTTGACATACATGAATATCCTTCCATAAGTGCTAAATTGTTTCAATGTACAACATTACACTGCCGATGTAAGCAAATGATTATAAGGAAGTCATCACATGTGGATGAAACAGCCATCTGTCTAGTTGGAGGTCGGCGTTAAATGAACTTTCAACAGATCGTAAAGGCCTGTCCCGCAGCTCATGCCATGCACTGAAGCCATTTTCTTTCCTACTGAAGCGAGATCATGCAGATGTATGATGTGGATTGATATGTATGTAGACATTCTTGTGTTCCGATAGAGGATTTGTTTGCCTTTAGCTTTGGATGATTGAGCATTCTTATGTAGGAGGAGGCTAGAACCTGCTTGATTGTTTATGTGAAGTGCGGAGTTGATGTGTAGTCCAGAGTGGATGAGTGTGTTGATTTAGGTTTGAGTGAATTCCAAGTCAGTTTGTTTAAACCGATAAGCCATAAAGTTAAAAAAATTCCGATGAAAGTTTAAAAAAGAGAAAAACTGAGAATCGATCGAACACTGTTTACCATCTCTTGAGTCTCTTTACCTCTCTACAGTCACTTCATCATCAAATTTTTATTGACCATCTTCTAGATTTCCTTCATTCTCAGATACCAAAACTTCATCAATCTAACAAAATGGTTTACAAAGTCTGTTTGGATTCTATCTTCTGATTCGATTCGATCACTAACTAATCTCATCTATCTTCCTCTTTTCCCGTTTACTACTTCTTCTAGGTTGCAGATGTAAGTGGTCTTGAGTGACTTTCAATCCTTTCTTACTCATCATCAGATAGACCCTTGACTCTCATCATCTTTATTTCTTTTTTAGATCTCTTTAGCTGCATGGGGCCGTAAAGAAATTGAGTTGGCCGAGAATGAGATGCCCGGTCAGTCATCTTTTACTGCTTCGATTTCAACGCCCTAGCTAGTAAAAGTTAAACTAACAATATCTTTCGATTTAGGTCTCATGTACCTTCGCCAGAAACACAGCGCGGCTCAGCCTCTCAAGGGTGCCCGTATCGCTGGTTGTTTACACATGACCATTCAGACCGCTGTTTTAATGTAAGCAAACTCCCCTAAAGGTATACCTTTTCATCTCCATGGACTGACTTGACATGTTTGTATCATAGTGAGACTCTTACTGCACTTGGTGCCCAAGTCTCATGGTCATCATGTAACATCTTCTCCACCCAAGATCAAGCTGCCGCTGCCATTGCTGCCACCGGCGTACCCGTCTTTGCCTGGAAAGGCGAGACCGAAGAGGAATACCTCTGGTGTATCGAACAGAGCTTAACAGCTTTCCCCGATGGTAAACCACTCAACATGATCCTTGATGATGGTGGTGACCTCACCTCCCTCGTTCATGAGAAGTTCCCTCAATATCTAGCTGGTCAGTTTGGTTCAGATTCTCATCCTTGATACTTTGAACCGCTGGCTTTATACTCATCTACCACGTTTTGTATCAAAGATATCGGTGGTGTCTCTGAGGAGACCACTACTGGTGTTCATCATCTCTACAAGCTCCACAAGCAATCCAAATTGAAAGTGCCAGCTATCAATGTCAACGACTCAGTCACCAAATCTAAATTCGACAACTACTATGGATGCCGCGAGTCCCTTGTGGATGGTATCAAACGCGCCACCGATGTCATGCTTGCTGGTAAAGTTGCCGTTGTGGCCGGTTTTGGAGATGTTGGAAAGGGATGTGCTGAGAGTTTGGCCAGCTACGGTGCCCGAGTCGTGGTCACTGAAATCGACCCGATCAACGCTCTTCAAGCCGCCATGGCTGGTTATGAGGTGACTACTATGGAAGAGGTCGCCAGCCGCGCCAACATCTTCGTCACCACCACCGGTTGTCGAGACATCATCGTTGGCAAGCACTTCGAAGCTATGCCCGAGGATGCTATCGTTTGCAAGTATGTCAATCTTATGATCTCTGCTGCGTTTGTCTCACCGCCGTTTACTGGTTCTATCTCGGAAATAGCATCGGACACTTTGACATTGAAGTCGATGTTGCATGGCTAAAGAAGACCGCCACGTCGGTCAGCAACATCAAACCTCAAGTCGATCGATACACTATGCCCTCCGGCCGACACATCCTCCTTCTTGCTGAGGGTCGATTAGTCAACTTGGGATGCGCTCATGGACACCCCTCATTCGTCATGTCCTGCTCATTCGCCAATCAAACCCTTGCTCAGATCGCACTATGGCAAGACAAGAACAACAGCCAATACCCTGTTGGAGTCCACATGTTGCCAAAGGCTCTCGATGAGGAAGTTGCCCGCGCTCACTTGGCTTCGTTGAATGTCAAGCTTTCAAAAATGACCCAGGCCCAAGCTGAATACTTAGGTCTTAGCGTTGATGGACCTTACAAAGTCGATCACTACCGATACGTAAGTTCGGTTTCATAAATGATATGCCCCAACCGTTGCTGACCTTCTCGTGTCTATATTCATGTTCACAGTGATCGGGCTTCCGCCTTCCCATTGGCTTCCTTCCTGTGCATCTTGTATTCTTACGGTCAGTAAAATAAAAGACGACGATGTTGGCTGAGCTGCATGACATCGCAACAAACATGTGGTTCAACCCACCGATGCCTGGATTTAATTGTCACGACTCTTGGTGTTGCATCACTTGACGTCAAATAAAAATATACCTTTTTATGACCTGTGCGCGTATCAACAAGCGTGCTGCGTATTTTTCATCTTCCTGTCACCCTGCGAGAATGTCAGTTGAGATGTATATGCCTGCTTCCTTACCTCACTCGTGCTGATAGCTCCTCTCCATATCACCACCGAAGCGTGAGGTAAGATTGATAACGCTGATATATCACTAAACAAGACTATTGTGATGTTATTGAGTTGACTCTGCCATCATAGTAGTGTTTTCTTATAAAATGTAGAACAATTCCTTCTGGTTCAAGATGCTGAGAGATGCTGCATGAAGCTCAATGTCTCATCAAGTCTCATCCCTCATCAACTGACCATCAGCAATATGCTGACACCTTCATGTGAGGTATCTGACGAATTGCAAGTCTCAGTTCTCAAGTGTCCGTCCAACCCTCAGACTGAGTTTGTACGTACTCATGAAACACTCTGGAATTCGAATGCGGCTTGAAAGTAGGATTGGGGCAGTGAAATAAGGTGAAGTGGCCTGACTAAATCGATGGTAGTTGAGATATTGTAAATGGTAAGCTTTACGAACGGCGAACGCGCTCGTGAGGGGCTTGGTTAAGCTTATGTAAAAGGCCTCAACTCTGACTGCGAGCTCTCGTGGGCGGGTTTCGAATGAGATCAGTCACATCATTCACGTAAGCATTCTTACTATTCTCCATCCGATCAGACTTCGTGGAGCGCAGCTTCGGAGGCAATCTACCACCACATCCCTTTTGCTTGGCACCAAACAAGCCGGTCTGAAATGTATCAGACGGAGATAAGGAAGGATTTAACTGATAAAGAAGCCAAGGAGCACTTCCAGACATAATTCCCGGAAGAGATGATCGAAAGTATCAGTTTTCTTATCTTAGACACAACCATCAAGTTCTTTCAATAATAGTGATCTACATACCTATATACATGAATTATAAAATTGAATCTCTCTCTTGTTGTTCTACAAGGCTCAAAGTTCTAGTCAGTTTTCTATGTATGATTTCTCTGATACACGAAATTCGTGGGAATGTCATACCAAAAAGTCAATATGAAGAAAGCTCAGTTTGGAATAAAGTCACTCAGATTGAGTTCGACAAGCATACACTTATTAAAAGGTCATTACTCAAAAGTTGTTACCAGGAGATAAAGACTTCAGATCTTCATGAGGACATCATTCAAACTACTACACCTTTCATGAATTTCAAACCATTAAACCCACCTAATTATCAATTAAACTTACCAAAACCGATATTGAATTTAAATTTATTTCGAAACTCACCTAACACTCAATCTCGTTCATTAAATCAAATCAAATCATCAAATTGTAAGTCCAAAAAAGATTCTCAATAGATTCGGTTTTTGAATTTATAAGTAAATCAATTCTTACGATTCGTGTTTTCGGTTTTGTGGATGTATGTAATTTGATGAACCGATTTTTGTCAAATAGCTAGAATCTCAAATTTATGTCAAAAGTTTTTCACTCGATTAGCTTGTGGAGCAGCGGATAAAAGAAAATATAATTTCATGGATTTTGATAGATCGTCTGGAATGTCTCAATCAAGTTTACTTACTTTGAATCCTACTAGATCTTTTAAAATTCATGAAGATATCAAACCCATGCATCAGGAACAGGATCGGCCGATGAGTATTGATGAAAATTTAGCCATTAAATTTGACAATGTCAAGTCAGATAAGGAGATCATCAGTCCTTCACCCTCGACAAGATTATCTTTGAGCGAGTCAACCAGAACTGATGATGATGATAGTGATCAGGATGAACCTTTCAGCTTTTACGCAGATGATGGCAAATCAATACGAGGATTGACCATGA